AGGAGTGAGGGGCGGCGCGCTGTCGCCCCTCGAAGCAGGGGACGCAGGTAGGGCCAGGCCCTGGAGGTAGGGGAGGGAGAGACCGAGGAAGACCAGAGACAAGGACACGGGAAGACATGCCTCGGAGACGAGGCAAGGAGGGGTGACCAAGGCGGTGGTGCTAAAGGAGAGTCTGGTGGGACAGCAGACGACACGAGCAGGGGGCAGACTCAGGATCAGACCTAAACGCCGCAGCAAACACCTGACTCGACGCAGCTACCTGGATAGACTCAGCAGTAGGAGGAGACTCAGCAGTAAGGGTGTACAGGCTCGACCCTGGCCGACGGGTGAACGTGGCCAAGTGTCGGCCTGTCCGAGCACACATGCAGTGGGTCACTCGCTGACTCGTAGGAGTGAACTGGTCATCCCCTCGATCCTGTAGGTCCGCTCCACTCACCAAGTTCGTAGAGAACGAGGGGAGGTAGAGACCAGACAGGTTGCCAGAGGGGGCTGCAGGGCACGGAAGGACAGTGGAGAAGCTAGCAAGGACAGGACCCCCAGAGGGGTCTGCCAGGGTGACTGCAACTGGCCGACTAAGCGGCGTAAGAGTGGTGCGGTCTCGAAAGAAGGAGCGGGACGCACCCGAGTCCAAGGTGAAGGTGTGGAAGGCCTAAGCCGACGTAGTACTTGAGAGAGCAGACTCACCAGCACCTGGGGCGGCAGACGCACTGGCACCTGGAGCAGCAGACGCACTAGCACCTAGAGCAGCAGCCTCACCAGCACCTAGCGCAGCAGCCTCAATGCCCGGGTCAGGCGGTACACACATGTAACAGGCACCCTCAACACTATCAGCAACAGCATACATGGCAGCAAGGATAGCATCAAAGTCAAGATCAAAGATAGCAACCCCGGCCTTAGTCAGATCTCCCCAGCGAGGGATCTCTGACGCCTCAGGGAACTGGCGACGCCACGCGTTCGTCAGGCGACCAAAGCAGCGCTGGGTGGAGTGCGGACCTCCGCACTGCTCACCAGTGCGGTCGCCGGTACGGAGAACGTAAGAGAAGGGACCAAAACCCCCACCGCGCTGGCGTGCAGTGTACCACTCACGAAGCTGCTGAAGGGACAGTGTCACACCACTCCGCTGCTGCTGCTGGCGCTGACCACCACCGGCGCCACTCCTCGGTGCAGAGTCGCGACTCGCTCCACCACCGCTGCCTCCGCCGCCGCCGCCTCCGCCGCCTCCGCCGCCTCCTCCGCCTCCGCCTCCTCCACTACCTCCGCCGCCTCCGCTCCCTCCGCCACCTCCACCGCCTTCGCCGCCTCCACTGCTGCCGCCGCCGCCGCCACCCCCGGCACCACTCCCACCACCACTCCCACTCCCTCCACCGCCTCCACCACCACCTCCACCGCCCCCTCCAGCCCCACCAGTGCCCTTGCCCCCCTTGCCCTTGCCGGTGCGGCGTCTCCCGCTCGAGGCAGACGCAGCGCCGACCGACTCGAAACCAACGAGGTCGGCCGCAGCAGCAGAGGCAACAGAGGGCAAGAGGAGGGAGGGAGAACACCCCTCAAAGACGGGGTAGCGAGGGTCACCACGAGAGGCTCCTACAGCGACTATGCTCTTCTCTATCGCTAGGAGGGCCTTCTCGAGGAGGTCAACGGTGAGAGTGGTGGGGCAGACTGAGAGGAAGTTGTCCCTGACTACGCGTAGAGAGTCAGGGAGCCAGGTGACTATGTAGTAGAGGGTGATGTACATGGGGGGGGGGGGGGGGGTTCTTGGCGCAGATTTCAGCAGGAAGCGCAGCGCGGTAGCGAGTGTCACTAGTGCGGAGGTGCGTAATGAGGTCAGCGACTGTGGGAAAGGCAGCAAGGTCAGGGAAGAGGTACAGTAGCATGAGGCGGCTCAGTGCAGCAGTGGCAGGGGAAGAGTAGCGTGCAACTACAGCGTCGTACAAGGTCTAAGCACTCTTGTACTGGCTAAAGTGTGCACGCTCAGTGGTCGGTAAGTAGCGGCGCACAGCAAGGCGAGCAGAAGCATCGCGCGTGGCCCACTGTGAGCAAACAGTGGCGTCAGCATCAGCACCAGGGGCAGGGGAGGCACCAGAAGTGAGGTCAAACAGGGAGAGGCCGTCTGCCCTATCGCACTGCAGGAAAAGCTGCAGATCATCTACCCAGACCTCAGAGTCCACTGCCCTACCCTCAGCGTCAAAGGTGAGAACGCTAGGGGAGGCCATAACAGCAGTAGGCAGGCAGTGAGTAAAGTGGGGCAGGGCAGTGCAGTGGCAGAGACTGTGCTCTTAATAGGCAAGAGGGGCGGTCGGGCGGCTCGGCGGTCGGGCGCCTCGGCTGCAGGGCGGCTCGGCTGCTGGGCGGCTCGGCTGCTCGGTGCTGGGCGACTCGGCGGTCGGGCGGCTCGGCTGCACGGTGCTGGGCGGCTCGGCTGTCGGGCGGCTCCGCTGCTGGGTGGCTCGGCTGCTTGGCGCCTCGGTTGCTGGGCGGCTAAGCGGTCGGGCGGCTCGATGGATGGGCGGCTCGAGCGGTCGGGCGGCTCAGCTGGCCGGCGGTTCGGCTGCTCGGCGCAGCTGGCGCTGGGCAGCGGGGTCGCAGGTGGTGGCGGGGCCGCAGGTGGCGGTGGGGCCTAAGGTGGCGGCGGGCCTCAAGGGTGGGCGGGGCTGCAGTGGGCGACGGGGCCGCAGTGGGCGGGGCCGCAGGTGGCGTCGGGGCCGAAGTGGGCGGGGCCGCAAGTGGCGACGGGGCTGCAGTGGGCGACGGGGCCGCAAGTGGCGACGAGGCCGCGGTGGGCGACGGGGCCGAAAGGGTGGGCGGGGCCGCAGGTGGCGACGGGGCCACAGGTGGCGGGGTCGCAGGTGGCGACGGGGCCGCAGTGGGCGACGGGGCCGCAAGTGGCGACGGGGTCGTGGTGGGCGACGGGGCCGCAGGTGGGCGACGGGTCCGTAGCGGGGCCGGAGCGGGGCCTAAGCTGGGCCGTAGCGGGGCCTAAGTGGGGCCGTAGCGGGTACAAGTACTAACCCTAATTGGGTTGTACCCCTTATGGGCTACCCCACTACAGCCTACACAAATGTATAAGCTATAATGTTCTGACATTTCGCAACGCGTTCTCACGCTGCGCTAATCTAGCTCAATCCGCTGCCAGTCGACAACTGTGTTGCTAATATCTACGTACAAATTATGCCTGCGATGCAAGTGTTTCAATGGCAATTTGCCGCCGCGACGTGATCCGTTTTGGTGAGAGCCTGCCGCTATAGGACGCGCAATGACGACTGCTGGAAACTGTTCCGTTCGATTCGGCGATATGCAAATCCCGCCCGTACCGGAGACCATGGCGGCGTGGCAGTACTTGAAGCACGGCAGCGGGGCTCATGCTCTCTCGGTGCGTTTCATTCGCCGCCCGAATCATCCGAGGCTCTTTCGTTTCCAGTAGTAGTAGTTGTTTTGCTACACCGAGTCAACTTTTGAGTCGACTCAAAATTCTTTTCTACACCTCATGAGCTTTCCCCTGCTTCGTCAGGCATCCTTCGTAAGCCCATAGGCACTCCATTCCGATGCCATCATTGCGCCGCGACAGAATTGCGCAAGTCCATACCCCACGACATAGTTCGCGTGCAGCTCACGATGCGCATCGTGATCTGATCTGAAGCATGACGCCCCGTCACAACTTGAATGACTGATTTTGGCATCAAGTTCTACGGGCTATGGTCACGCAGATGCCCCGTCATCTGCGTGCTGTTACGTGTCCTCCATCCCGTACGCCCCGCCGCGAATCTCGACTCAAAAGTTACCTCAATTACCGACACACTCAAGCTGTGTGAAGGCGAGGCGGTGGTTCGAGTGCATTCGGCGAGCCGCTTCACTTCAAATCCTTACCGAGGTTTCCTTATCCCCCTCCCCTTTGTGCTTCACCAGCTAAATGACAGCGTCCTAGCACACTATGTAAGGGCGAGATGCTGGTTCGCGCGCATGAGGAGGGAGTGTATTCATGAAAGTTTCTGCATTCCGAATCCCCTGCAATTCACTAGTTTGAGCAACAACGGCCTTGTCCGTGTAAGGGCGAGGTGATGTTCGCGTGCGCGCAGTGAGAAACTTCAACCTCAATAGCTTCTCCCCATCCCTCACTCGTTCTCACCCCACCAGTTGAATAAAAACTTCCGCGTGCCTGCGCCGAGCAAGGGCAAGGCGCTGGTTCGCATGCACATGACAAGCATCAACCCGGGGCGGCTGGTCGTGTGCAGTCGGGATTCCTTCTGCACCATTTCCCCGTCACCACTGGTGAGAAAGAGTGCAAGCAGCCGCAGGAGATGAAAGATTATAAGGAGGATTATCAGAAGCGCCGAATCTAATAGGTGCAATTTAATTTCATCTCCTTCTGGCCGCTGCGTTTCCCCACCACTGTGCATGCACTGATTTGTGTTCCCTTACCTGGCTCTGCGGTTCCCTTACCTGGCTCTGCGGTTCCCTTACCTGCCTCTGCGGTTCCCTTTCCTGGCTCTGCGGTTCCCTTTCCTGGCTCTGCGGTTCCCCCCTCTGGTGGTGACGACCTGCATGCATTCCTTTCCCTCCGCCTTGTCATTCACCCTTCTCACTACCCACTCGAGTCAGGATTTATTGATAGATTTTCCTGACCTACCTTTGATTGTTGTTCATGCAGGGTACGACCTCGCAGGCAACACATTGTCGTTTTTGGAAGGGCGCCGTTCTTTGTACGTTCCGTAACCACCACATTGCTTTATTCTTTGTTCGTCCGCTCTCATCCACTGCGCTGCACCTCTCTCCACCACTCTGCATCGCATCCCTCTCCTTATGGCATGTATGCGGCCACTTGCCTTTTGACTGCGGACAATGTCTGAACCACAAGCTCAACCACATGTCTGAACAATGTTTGGTGTTTTCACCACCGCATCTGTCTGCTTCTCTCCCATACACTTCCTCTCTGGCCCCACTCTCGTTCACTATGCAGTCCTCAACCAGCACGCCTCTTACTTGCTTTCCCTTCTCATTTGCATTCCTCATACCCCTTCTGTATTCTCACTCCTCTTCTCCCAAACGATGGGCGCCCTGGTGCAATACGCCCTACTGGAAACTGTCCTCAGTGCGCGCAAGCCCTCCTCCCTCACCTTCGAGTCTGCCGCTGCTCTCCCTGTCGTCGGCCTCACTGCCCTGCAAGCCATGAGGGACTGCGCCAGCCTTCCCCTCCAGGTAACCAAACCGGGTGCAGATAGCAGTGGTAAAGGCGAGAGCACCAGCACAAGCAGGAGCGACAGCAGCAGGTGCAGCGCACGATTCCTGGTGGCGAATATGTCAGGGGGAGTGGGGCATCTGGCAGTGCAGCTGGCTAAGGCAGCAGGGGCACAACTGCCACTCTCGGCGCTCATAACCTCGCCTTTGCACAGAACGTGCTTGGAACAGACGAGCTGTTTGATTACAACTCCGCTGCAGAGAAACAGCTCTACGATTTCTCATCCCCATCCCCTGCGCTGCACAGGTTTCTTCATCTGCCAATCCGCCTATCTCTGGGCAGTATTATGTGGTGATTGATTCCTCCTCCAATAGCCTGGCTGTCTCCGCTGTGAGCAGGGTTCTCCGTCCCCAAGGGAGGTGGGTGCATGTGGAGCTTCCGCCCTCTCTGCTCGCTCTGGGACTCTGGCGCCGCCTTGCGCTTCGCCCGAAGAAACTTTATCCTGCTATGATGGCGAACAGGCAGGGTGATTTGGAGGTGCTGGGGAGGATGGTGGAGGAGGGGAAGGTGAGGGTGGTGGTGGAGAGTAGTGTGGCGTTTGAAGAGGCGAGAGAGGCGTGGAGGAGGAGCATGGGAGGGTATGTGACGGGAAAGGTGGTGGTTAGGAGGATGGAGTGAAGGGCTACAAAGGTTACAGCTAGAGAAATCAGTCGCATGAATGTATCTTTTATGGTACCTTAGTTGAATTCTTCAATTGACTTCCAGAAAGCAATCTGTTTATCAGGCTAGCCCACTAACCACCCTTTATGTGAAACAAGTTATTATGAACCACCCCATGAAGGAGCATACATATAAAACTGATAGGAGTGCATACAAGTAAATCTGCACCTCATACTCCCCTCTCACAAACCCACTCCCCCGCTACCCATTCCCTTTCCACTAACCCACTCTGGTCCCACCCCCCTCCCACCCGCTACCACCTAACGTTCAGCCAGTCTCATGCTCAAAAGCACCTTCACCCCACTGCTGGCGCCAGCTTGCTTTCGACAGCCACTTATGAATTATGTCTTCCTCACGCTCTCTACTTGCCTACTTAGCCTCGGCCATGAGCTTCTTGAAGTTGGTCTTGCTCGAGTACAGCGTCTGCGGCTTCCAGTCGGCGGGAAGGACCTTGTCGAGAGTGATCTTCTCGAGGGTGTGTCCCGCAGTCAGGCGAACGCTCACCGCCTTCTTCGCGCCCACAACCTCCTTCGCCTCCTTGCCCTTGATCCCCCAGATCGCCTTGCTGCCGTCTCGCGTCAGCTTCGCCCACTTCTTGCCGTCCGCGCTAATCTCGACCTCTTTGAGCGTACCGGGGCCGGCGAGACCCACCATCTGAATGTTGAAATCCTCTGCCGTCGAATTGCGGCGCACGCGCACCGCGGATCCGAGGGTCGAGTGGCAGTTGGTGCGCTTGTACGTGATGCCGACGGGGGTGGCAACGGATCCCTGCACGATCTTGGACCACGACACGGGGGAAAGCGAAATCTCCTTCTCCGTGGTCGTCGCGCCAATGACGCGGACCGTCACGGTCGCCTTGCCGCTGCGGCAGTGCTTCGTGTCGTTGGCGCAAGTCACCTTGTAGCACGCGCCGCAGCGCTTGCCGAAGATGGCGGGAGGAAGCTTCACGGTGAGCCCCTTGCCAAAGTAGGGGTTGGCGGTGTAGTTTGCGTAATAGGCGCAGGTGGAGTCGTTTCCTAGCCCCGAGCTCTTGCTCTGCCTCGCCGTCGCCGCCACGGCACGCGTGGTTGCGTTTGCAGAGCCAATCGCGCCAGCAGCAACCCCCTTAGCATAAGCAGTTGAGTTGGCAGGCTTAGTCGCGTTGGCAGGCGCAGTCGCGTTGGCGGGTTTCCCGGCGGCAGAGACGCGCGCAGGGGCGGAAAGGAGCACTGCAGAGGCGATGACGACTACGAGGAAAGTCACGGCCTTAGCGGGTGTGTGGCTGAAGAGAGTCATTCTCGCTTCGTGTGTATCAATCGAGGCTAAAACTGTCGAGCTGGTGCTATGATTAGACAGCTTTGAAAAGCAGAGGGTACTGATGATATGAAATTGCTGATGAGATGAGCGGCAGTGGTGGTTCCTTTTATAACTGCATTTCTGCTGTGTCGAGGGATGGCACCATGTGTCGCGGGCAATTGACTTGGTCGTACTTTGGTCTCAGCAGTACGAGTCGCCAAGGGAGTCACACCAACATTGTTACGAGTAATTGCGGATTCAGTGCGGGGGGTGGCGAGCTAGCGACTGTCGGCAGCAAGTTCGCGATTCATCCCGAGTGTTCGCGAATACTGGATACGGAATCGTTCAGAGTTTTACGAATAATAATTGTGACGGAAACATACTGGAGAGATTGATTTTCCTGCGCATGCGACGGCGCGATAGGCGCGAAGCCTTGGGGTGGTGTGATGATTGACTGTACTCGTTTCGACGACCCATTATTACCACGGATTGTGCATACTACAACATCAATTCCAATCGTTAAGATGGCCTAGAATGCTCACACAGCTTATGTCAGGCAATTTCTTGAGTTTTGTAAGGAAAATTCATTTTCTTTACTTCACGCCCCTGCTTATTGCGAGCATGACTGTTCCCGCCAACAGTACCCAACTGTGCACCGTTACCACTCGCTATACCCGTCTCGACTACTGTTCCCGCCACTGTTCACGACGAAACCCAACTTCATGGTTTGGTTGGTAACCCGCGCTTCGGGCCTCCGCCTTGACATTTCCCAACCTCGGCGCTAGGCCCGTAGCGCACCCCAATTTCTTGCTTTACAGTTACCACGCTAGCTTCGCTATTGTTATGAGTTGTACGAAAAAAAAGTGCGTAGAATGCAATATCGCGAAAGTGATTACAACTACTGAGCAAACAACGAGGCCTAGGCATAATATAGCAAAGCTAGCTAGGCCGAGGTCGCGAAGTCGCGCGAAGGTTGAGTGCAGGATTGGGGTTGGGAAACCTGAAGGCGACGCAAAGGACGTTCGGAAGGCGAGGTCGTACGGAGTGCCTCATTAAGGAATCAGGAAAATTCCTTACACTACCCCCCCCCCCCCCCCCCCCCCCCCCCCTTCCTTTAACAAAGGTGGTCAATATCAGGCACGCGTCGGCAGAAAAGATAATACTGAAGCACCGAGTGGCCTTGTAGTGAGTCGGCCGGGACCCACGTGTCATCTTCGCTTGTGCGATCCACCCATCGCAGGAGAAGGTCGACGTGACAACCAGCCGGGGTCGCACGAATGCGATGATTCAAAGTCTTCCAAGGCTAGAGTGTTGGGTCTGCCACAGGCCGGACACTTGGCACGATGTTGGGTCAAGCGACGTTGGACGGCTGTGGAGCCACTAATGACGGAGCAAGCTGACGTGGAAGGCATAATGGATTTTCCATTCGTCTGGTAGGAGGAGTTTCGCTATGACCGGGGTCAGCATCCGAATGATGCGGAAAGGGCCCACGTAGCGGGGGCGCAGTTTTGCAGGCTGGGGCAGTCGAAGATTTCTCGTATCCAAAAGGACCATCTGCCAATCACGGAAGGGTAAATTTTGTCGATGTCGGTCGGCGTAGCGGCTGGCGTTAGTATTATTCATCCGTACAAACTCGACTGCTTTGCTGCGTGCTGCTTGAAGTTCGGAGACGAACTGCTGCGACCAAGGTACCGGGTTGTCGGGAGTCGTGGAAGAGCGTACCACGGGGTCTATTCCGTAATTGAGGAAGAACGGTGACTGATTGGTCGTCGCACACGGGGCGTTGTTGTACGCAAATTCGAGCAACGGAAGCGAATCCTCCCACTTGGTGATGTCGAGGAAGTTCGTGCGAATCAACTGCTCCATCATCTGGTTCGTCCTCTCTGTCTGCCCGTCGGTTTGCAGGTGGTAAGAAGACGAGAACTGCAAGCGGGTGCCGTACTGTGCCCACGTTTCCTACCAGAACTTCGACGTGAACTTCGGGTCCCGATCGTTGATGATCGCCGAAGGTAACTGTGAGAATAAGAACGAGGAGTGAATGAATTAGCAAGCAGGTGGGTACAAGTATGAAAACCTAAAAGAGTTGTACCCCATATTGTCTACCCCACTGCAGCCTACAATATAGTTCTCACACCCCCATAGGCAAAGTGGGGGACAAACAAGAGAACAAGGCAAGGTCAAGCTCAGGGTGGATCACAACGTCACCACACATTCTGAGCACCTGTTCAAGGCCACAAGACCAGTTCACATGCAGGATTATAATGCAAGGTGAACAAGCAAGACAGTGATCTCAACCTAGCAAGGGTAAGCATGCAGGTGCAGGTATATATGGATCCAGTACAAAAAAAGTCAAGAGGTAAGCAAGTGAGGCCCGGTAGGCACAAGACCTAGCATAGTAAAGAAACGCTGATGATCACAAGGCTGAAGGGCCTTGGTAAAGATATCAGCATTGTTGGCTCGAGAAGCCACGTAAGCAAGACGAAGCTGACTACGCTGCTGCAACTCTCCAGCAAGGAAGAAGTGCAGAGCAATGTGCTTTGTTCTGTGCTCTAGTCTGTGCTCCCAGCACAAGGCCAGCATGGCCTTGTTGTCGACGTGCAGAACTGAAGGAGAACGAGGCGCCTCTCCCAAGTAGGTTAGCAGGTAGGCGAGCCAACATAACTCTTCTGCAGCCATGGCCCTAGAAGGACGGAGGACAAACAGAGGAGTGGTCTGAGGCGAGGAGTACGTGAAGTCGAAGCGCTGAAGGACCTGCTGCACCATGTGTGACTGAGTCAGGGTAATGGTGCGCCGTGCTCTGTCCCGGGTGATTTGCAAGCCAAGATAGCTGCGCAGTTCACCCAGGTCTGTGCATGTGTGTCTCTTCTGCAGCTCAAACTTCACGTGGGCGAGTCCAAGAGTGTCAGTAGTAGCAAAGACTAAGTCGTCGACGTACACGAGGATGTAGAACGACGGCAGCGAAGTGTCGGTGCGTAGAAACAGCGACGGGTCAGCAATAGAAGTAGCAAACCCAAGAGACGCTAGCGTAGTCCTCAGTGTGTCGTGCCACTCGCGGGGAGCCTGGCGGAGACCGTAGACTGGCCGTCGGAGGCTCCACTGGGTACCAGGAGGAAACAACCCAGTGAAGCTCCTAGTCGCGCTGAGGCTATGTGCAACAGCACCCGAAGATTGGTCATCTTCGGGGTGGGAGAGAAGGTCTGAAAGTAGTCAACTCCCTGCCGCTGTCTGAAGCCTTGAGCCACGTAACGTGCCTTGAAGACAGGCGGAGAACCCGGCGGCTGCTTCACCCTGAAAATCCACATGCCATCGACAATGTTCACTCAAGGTGGGGGAACCTCGTCAACGTAGGTGCTTGTGGACTTCCAGGAAGCCATCTCTGCGTCCATGGCTGACTGCCACTCAGAGGAGTAGGGACCCTCTATCGCCTCTGCGTAAGAGCGCGGGGTCGGGATGTCTGGTGCATCCGGGTCTCCCTCAGGTGCAATCAGCATGGACACGAGATGACGTACAGCGGCTCCAAAGCACTCAAAGTCCTCCTGCTTGTCCTCAAGGACGTCCTTGCCAAGAGAACACTCACCCTCGACGGACGGAGGACAAACAGACTCAGACTCAGCAACAAGACTCGCGGCGTAGTCTAGACGACAGTGAGCAGCAAAGTCGACAAGCTCAGCAACTAAGGCAGACGCAGTAGTGGACTCAAAGGAAGGATTAGTGACAACAGTAGCTAGGAGACGCGTGATAGTAGGACTGGCAGCACGAAGGGAGTCAGACTCCGGGTCAGCAAGATCAGGAAGAGAGGACGCAGGAGGAGACGGCAAAGGGGCACGCAGTGGAGCAGTGGAAGGACGCAGTGCCATCTGGTGCGGAACACGACGACCGGACTTGAGGAGGACTAGGGCGACCAGCATGAACAAGCGACACAGGACGAGACTCAGGCTCACGACGCTAAGCAAGACCTCCAGTAGGACCAGTGTAGTGAGGAGGAGCAGGCATTAGGGAGGCGAGCTGTAACTATGACTCGGACGGGACAGGCAGTGGACCCTCTAAGGAAGGAGCAGGACGAGAAGAAGGCGGGAAACCAAGAACTTGCTGAAGGAGTGGAACGAAGGACGCCCGCGGCCGCGCAGCGCCTCTAGAACCAGCAGGGATAGCACCAGCATCCCCAGCGTTAGCACCAACGCTAGCAGCACCACCAGCTCCAGGAGCACCCCCAGTAGCTCCAGCAGCGCCAACTCCAGCATCCCCAGACGTACCAGCTCTAGCAGCACCTCCAGCACCAAGATCTGCAGCAGCGCCAGCTCCAGCAGGACCACCGGAAGACGAAGTAGCACTAGCTCCAGGAGTACCTGCAGCAGCGCCTACGCCAGCAGCACCTCCAGCTCCAGCACCAGCAGCACCACCAGGCCGACCAGCTCCAGTACCGACAGTACGAGCACCTCCGGGACCCGTGGCTCCAGAACCTCCAGCAGCCGTAGAACCTCCAGCACCGATAGCACCACCACCTCTAGCAGCACGACTCCAACGCCGAGCAAACCACTCACGTAGCTCCTGGGGAGAGGGCAGCTCCCGCCGTGACGAAGCACCCGAAGGACCTCCAGGCCCAGCACCACCAGGCTCCACTCGAGCAGGCCCAGCACCCTCAGGCTCCGCACCCCCAGACTCAGCAACCCCAGGCTCAACACCCCCAGACTCAGAACCCCCAGGCTCTGCACGCTCAAGCTCAGCACCCCCAGACCCGGCACCCGCAGGCTCAGCACCACCAAACTCAGCACCCCCAGGCTCCGCTCGCTCAGGCTCAGCACCCTCAGACCCGGCACCCCCAGGCTCAGCACCCCTAGCAGCACCAGAGTCAACAGCTACCTTGACAAGCTCGACTGCGTCTACCTGGGACACACCTGAGGGGGCAGGACCCTGAGGGGGGAGGGGGTTTACCAGGGGGGGACATGGCGCGAGGAAGAGCGGCGGGGGGGGGGGGGGAGGAAGGGGGGCAGCGCAATAGG